CGCTCGCAGAAGGGGGAGGACTGCGCCATCGCAGTCCCGGGAAGCTGGCGAGACCTGATACATCGGCGCTTTTCCGACAAGTATTTATGCATGTTGCAGTGTGGTGAGTGCGGATACATTAGTATGCATTTAGCTCCTGGGAACAATCCCAGCGCGAACGATTATTGGGAGGACACGTCGGAGGGAGCGGAGGGGGAGTGTGCCAAATGGGAACGAACAAACCCGCCAGTCAAACGATGGGTTATTGGTTTAGACGCTAATTTGACTCTACCTGGAGACATACCTGACTTGACGGGGTCCTGGGTCTCTGAAGCACACGCAGGGCACTCCAAGACCAAGATCGCTCGTCTATGTCGTTTCTTGTTGGCCAGGCGCACTGTGCTCGTAAACACTTTCGCTGAGGCTTGTGATCGAAACCTGCAAAGCAGCCCAGTGACATGGAGGAATACAAGGGGAAACGAATCTCAAATCGATTATCTGGGCCTTCCTCTCGGTGGGGGGCACGCTACTTGGCACGTTCTGGACCACACGCACGTCTCTCCCAAGACCCCGCAGGCATTGAAATCTGATCATGTTATGGTGGTCGGGGGCATGGGGTTTGAGCACAACGTGATGCGGTACCACGCCCGTCCTTTTACTCAGAAGGGCTGGAAGCCTGACACTGAGCAGGATGCGAAGCTCTTTCAGAGATTGTGCGTCATGAAGAACACTCTTGTTCCACATCCCGTTCTTCCTCTTCATCCCCCTCCTCGTCATCTGCACGACGTCGACGCCGACGCTGACGCCGCCATTACGACGCCGACGCCGCCGTTACGACACCGCCGCCGCCGTTACGACACCGACGCCGCCGCCGTTACGACGCCGCCGCTGCCGTTACGACGACCCGCCGCCGTGACACCGACGCCGCCGCTGCGACGATTTCGGTTTTTTTTCCCAGGCGGGGAAATCACGGATTGGGAGCATCACATTGGCCATGCGGCGAGTTCGATCTCCGCGACGAATGCGAGTACCAGACTCTGGTTGGGCCGACAACGTTCTGCCGAGGAGAAGTCTTTATTGTTGCGCATCCGATCCGACTCGATGCGCGGGGTTATCGACCGAACGATGCGGCGCAGGTACAATCAGATTAGCAAGAGACGCAGACGGCAACGGGGTGACCAAGACCTCGCCCTCGTGAACTCGACGCAGGGGGGGATGTCCACCCGGCTCCCTCCTCGAATGCCCGTGCCTGTTGCCCACCAGCCCTCATTTGGAGACTTCTGCGCAGACCATTCCCGTTGGCCAGATTTGCTACGTCATTTCGGTGCTGACCGCTATTGTGATGCTGGCAATGGCGACGCAGCTCAGGATTTACGAACGATGCGTTTAGAGGCGATTGCAATCAATGAAGCTCAGGATAACCACATCAGACGTCGTTGTGGGCCCACTCGCTTCACCTTCATGGAATTCCTCGCCGCCCGGGGTGCCATGTCCATCGGCACAGCGCCTGCCAGGGACGGGGTCGTGGGCGAAATGCTTCAGATGTTGCCTTTCCTTGTCGTCGTAGAGTTGTTCATTAAGTTCACCAGCTATTTCGTCACGGGGAAGGGCCACGGGGAGTTCTGGAAGCTCATAGACCTCACTGGGTTGCCCAAGCAGCCTAGGCCCCAAGCTTTTTCCGACTGGAGGTACGTTGCCAAGTCCCCGAATATGCAGAAATGGTATTTAAAATCTGTGGGGTACGCGATTCGACGCTTCACGCAGCAAACCAGAGTCAGGATATTTGGTTTTACTCCAGGGGTTTCCACGTTGCACCTGGTGGACATCGTCAGGAGGGTTTTGGCCATCTCTAACAAGTTCAAGAAACACCCGTATGTTGTCGCGTTCCTGGACATTGAGTTTGCGTTCGACAATATGTTGCATCAGTTGGTCTCAGATGCATTGCTATCACTGAGCATTCTAGCGTCCCTGGTGGTGGCAATCTTGAGGGAGCTATCAGGTCTCGAGGGTGACATGTACATGTCAGGTGTCGGGGCTAGTGGCAGGTTCCCCTATCTCAAAGGCGGGAGACAGGGGGGAGTCGAGACGCCCATGCTCTTCAATTGCCTTCTGACTTACATATTCGGCCCCGTTGTCAGGCAGTGGGAGGCGACCGGCCTGGGGGCTTCCATCGACGACCTCTGCTTGAATTTGCTAGTATGGGCGGACAATTTGATATTGTGTGCAAGGACTACGGATCAGCTCCAAACGATGATTTCCGACACGGCCAGCGCTCTGCACAGGAACGGCTTCCGCATCAAGATGAAGGAAAGTGTAGTGCTCTGCGGGATGGGAGTCGATCAGCAGCCGCCCGTCGTGGAAGTACCGACGCACGGGCAGGGAGTTCTTCAGTTGCCAGTTGTGGACGAAGCCGTCCTACTCGGCACCATGCTCACCAGGGCGGGGGATACAGTGGCTTCCTGGGATCATCGATTTCTGAAGGCGGAGGGGAACGTTGGAAAAATCCATCGACGCCTTCATAATCCCAACGCCAGTTGGGAAGGGAAAGTCCGGGCATTCTCGAGAGGGCCCACCACCTCATTGCTCTACGATTGCGCGTCTTCGGTACCCACGCAAGACCGTCTGCAGAAGGCGCGTGCCTGGGAAGACCACCATCTACGACGGGCTTTGAAATTGAAGTCCCTGCCAGGGGAGGGCCTGCAAGGCTACAACTACCGCACAGCGCGTCTTCTCGAAGGCCGCTTTGCATTCTGGGCAATACCTCAAGTTCACCATAAATGGCTTCAGCGTCTTCATCGATGGAGGTATGCGTCCATGCATTGGAGTTGGGGTTCCGACAAGTCTGGCACACCAGAGTTCCCCATTCGCCAGCTGTCTCTATACCGTAGAGGTGACCACAGGGTTACGGCACAGGCGTGCGCTTCCTGGACCCCCAGTCTGCGCCGCGATGACGCAGGGGAGTGGCGGTATCGACGGCCAGGCCCCGCTGCACCGCAGCCAGAGGACTTCTGGGACGCAGCCATCCCTGATTGGGAATTCAAGGTGATGAATGGCGCCGGGGAGTGGAAGAACCAGGAGTGGTCCTTCATCGATCGCATCTGCATCAAATGGCACCTGCCTGGTTGGAATAGAGATATGTCCGTCCATCGTGACCAGGTTCGTAAACTTGCTGCGGCTCGTCGGGGCGATCCACGGGGGACACACGCTAAACGCAAGCAGTCGGAGGACGAGGGGGAGGCGGAGGAGGGGGAGGTGGAGGCAGGGCGACATTGCAAACGACGACGGCTTCTTCGCGACGACACGGAGCAGCGAGCAGGCGTTACGACGGGAGGGGCGGGCACCGGCGACTGGGACTTCGGGGATGACACTTTCTTCGTTTCTGAGGGCCGCATGTTCTTTGATATCATTCCTCCCCTCCTTTCCTCCGATTCGTCCTGGCCCGATCCTTCCTCCTCCATTAATTTTTTCAGATTTGTGGTCGATAACGAAGCTTTAGCGCAAGCCCTCAGTGGCTCGTCGTTCGTCCAATGGGAACGGCTCTCACAACTTTCGCCTCTAGCTGACTGTTTGCTCCAGAGCGTGACCGATGGGTGGAGACCTCCGGATCCGATCGAAGCTCCCGTTTTGTGGCGGCCCCGCCACCAGAATCAAGAGGCTGATCGTTTGTGTAATGCAGTTTTAGATGCAGGCCGAGGTTTCTTATGCCTCCACCCTCGCATTGATGAGTTGTTAGCTGCGCCTCACAATTGTTTGGCCCACTCGGACGGGGGGTGGCGCGGGTGCGGGCGGAGCGCGGGCGGTTTCACTCTACGGGTCTCCCAGGGGAGCGGCGACTGGGAGGTCGCGGCTTTCGGGGGGACGTGGGAACCCCAGGCAACAGATTCATTTTCCGCCGAAGTGTCGGGGCTTCGGCTAGCACTTGCTGTGTTCGCCGCTCTGCAGGGGACAGGCGATCTCTCTCAGCTCGGAATCCCAATTTTCAGACGTAATGTGTGCTACAGGTATCTGCATTGAGTGAGGCTCCATCGGCAGGGACTGAAGAGATGTGCGGGGAGGCGGCCTTTGCGGCCAAGCCGAGTCCAAATAAATAATAATAATTATTATTGTTATTACTACTATTATTACTATTATTCCTCCTGCTCCTCCCCTCCTCCTCCATTCTTTTTCCTTATCAATAACTTCTCCCGGCAACACCCTGGGGCCAGTTGTCAGGGCAGGCCGGGCGTTTCGCATGAGACTTCCCTACCACTTATCACTCTGAAGCTCAAATATGGTAACCCCTTCACAGATGGAGGGCGGGCCGTTTTCGAAATGTTGATCTTGCCTTAGCGCCGCGCACCTTCTTACAACAATTGCAAGTGTTTCACAGATTGAGGGCGGGTCGTTTTCAAAATGTGGCTCTCGCCTTAGCGCCGCGCACATTCGTCTTTATAGTTTGCCAGAGTTTCACGGATTGTGAGCGGGTCGTTTTCAAAATGTGGTTCTCGCCATAGCGCCGCGCACATTGGTTTTCAAACTTTGCCAGACTTTCACGGATTGAGGGCGGGTCCTTTTCAAACTGTGGCTCTCGCCTTAGCGCCGCGCACATTCGCTTTAAACAATTTTCAAGAGCTTCACGGATTCCCATGACCAACGTCCCAGAAACGGTGTTCTTGAAAGGATTCAGAACTATGCGGGTGCAACAGTTATGTTGGTTCGCGGTGTTGAAATTCCAAAGATGGCGTTCTGGCACGATTCCAAATCGTCAGGACGCAGCAGTCAGGTTGATCCGTGGCGTGGAAATCCCAAGAACCATGTTTTGGCATGCTTCAAGGTCTTCAAACGGTTGTCTTCCAACGAGGCAGCTCCCTCAATGGAAATGAACCGTTGTAGGGGCCTATGAAGAGGGAATTTGGAGGGATGGTTAATTCTTACATCGTTGAGGACTCGTGGGTTTACACTGGTCCTCCTCTTCCTCTTCCTCCTCCTCATCCTCCTCCTCCTCCTCCTCTCCCTCGTCTGACCGCCCGCGTCGGCGGCGCCTCGGCGGCGGCGGCGCCGCCGAGACTGCACGCGCCGCCAGCGCAGGCGGCGGCCACGGCCAGCTCCTGCTGCTCATGGCACGTCTCTCGGGCATCTTCAGGCGTCGAAGAGAATCGGGGAGGACCTTCGAGGATTCAGACGTCGTCGTCGTCGGGGATCGAAGAGTACGGAGTATCGGAGAGGATCGAGGATGACCAGGGAGGATCGAGGAAGACTGGGTACACGTCGGTCGGAAGAAGTAGGTAAAAACATGAAGTAGGAAGGCGGATTAAGTTGATTGGGTCCAGACCCCCCCAGAGATTAACAAAACACAGCAAAAGCGTGTCGATTCTTGAAGTAGGAAGGCGCTTGAAGTTGATTGGGATCTGGGAATCCAAAAATACCTACTTTCAACGACCGGCGTGTATCTATGAGGATCGAGGATCGATGAAGATCGATGAGGACCGGGGATCGAGAAGGGTCGAGGATCATGAAGGATCAGGGATCAGGGGGACAGTGACCCAGAAACAGGAGGGCCTCCTCCCTCCTCTTCATACCTCCTCCTTCTCCTCCTCCAGCCGCTGGGTATCGTCGACGTCAGCTCCTCTCGATCCGGTGCGCACTCGGACATCGCCGTCGTCGGAGGCGACCACAATCAACCAATGCAACCCAACACGTCTTCGGGCGTTGTCGTCGCCAGCATGGTCTTCTTCCTCCTCCTCCTCTTCCTCATCCTTCTCCTCCTCAGTATCCTCCTTCTCCTCCTTCTCCTCCTCCATCCTCGTCTTGTCGCCAGCAGCGGAAACGCTCAAATGACATGCAGCAGGGTTTTGTTTTGTTTTGTTGGTCGGGCCTGAGATGCCCAACCTAGGAAACGATCGTGTGCGCCTAGTGCGCCGACGCCTGCACTGTGCATCTATGATGCGGCTGCCGGCTGTCATTTCGACAGAGCCATGGGCAACAAACGCAATGCGAGCCAGTGAAAAATGACAAGCTGTATGCCTGTCGGCTGTCATCAAGGCAACGCCATGAACAGCAAAAACAATGTGGATTGGTGGGAGATGACTGGGAAATGACAAACTACATGCCAGCAACATAAGAGCATTCAACTCTCACGAGATACCGACGTCCAACGACACTCTGCCAAATTCCGTTCGGAATCTGGAAAATAGAAGTTGGAAAACGCGTCATAGCGGAAACGATGAGCACTGGCCAGGGCTGAGAAACGTGCAAGGGTTGGCCCCAGCCACTTTCGCAAGCGTCTCCGTAGCACAACCGACTCCTACAAACCCCACGCCGCCCGCAGATAGAGCTGGCCTCAACCAGCCGGCCCGTCTGCCCACCCTACTTGCAGCCGGGCCGGATCAGCGCGTCACGCTGCTCGCAACCGTGGAACATCGGCTGCCTCTTGAGGCTGACGCACATGTTGCTCATGGTGTTCATCTCCAGCCGGACGCCCGGAAGCGGGCTCAGCACGCGATCCCGCTGCACGGGTTTCTGCCGCAACCACACCCCCGAATGAGGGTCGCGGACGTAGAGGTCCGTGAGGCCCCCGCCTGGGCAGAAGGGCTCTCGCCCGAATGTGGTGGCATGGCTCCAGTGGTTCTGGAACTCCCGCGAGGTGCTCCACTTGGGGTGCTTCGACGTGGCCAGAGACAAGTCGGTGTGGCCGAACTTCCTCCCGGTCGGCTTCGACACCCACGCCCCCTTCGGGAAGCGGTCCCGGGAGCGGCCGCTCGCCGAATTCATCGAGAGCCTGAAGTCGTCCACTGTTGACCGCCGGAGGTCTGGCGCGCTTCCCGATCTCCCCAAGAACGGCTCGGAGGAGCTGCTGTACATTGCGCCCGCTGCAAGGCCTAACCTCGCAGCCTCAATAAAAGTGAAAGTCTTGAGCCAGACTTGAAAATGGCCTTGAGCCAAAATGGCTACGGCATGCAGCAGGGTCGGGGCAGGCTGCATATGCAGATCCTTTCCACGGAGACAGTCCTACATTCATGGGTTTGTTGGCGGCGTTCCAAGCCTGCACGGAGTGGGCGTGTTGGAATGCTCCTGTGGTCCCTCTGGGATTGTTTCTTTCTAGGGCCGCCCCCCCCTCTGCATCACGATCGCCCACCCCCCACCCTGAAGTTGCTCCTCAGCGCTCTTTTCGGCCCCCAGGCGGCCAAGATGGCCTCCAAGACGGCTACCAAGACAGCCAAGACGACACCCAAACTGCTCCAGATGGCCCAAGATAGATCAAGAGCCTTTCAAGACAGCCTCACGGCTGCCCAAGAGGCCGCCAAGAGGGCCGCAAGACGGCCCAAGAGGCCCTCAAGACAGCCCAAGAGAGCTCCAAGGGGCCTTCTTGAAGAGCCCGAGGTGCCCAAACCACTGATTATCCATAGGATTTTGAATGATTTTGAGGTTCTCGCCTGTTCGGGTTTCCGACCGCCCAAGACGGCCCAAGAGGCCTCCAAGAGACCTCCAGGACAGCCCAAGAGGCCCCCAAGAGGGCCCCAAGTCGGGTCAAGAGGACCCAAATATTACCCAAGGAGCTCCCAAGAGTGCCCCAGCACGGCCTCGAAGCGCTCCAAAAGAGCAACAAAACTATCCAGAGAGGCCAATTGGGCTGTCTTGGGCGGTTGGAAACCCACACATGCCAGAACATCAGAATCCGGCAAACACCACATTAACATCAATGGTTGTGGCCGCCCCGGGCTCTCCTGGAAGGCCTCTAGGACTAGGAGACCTCTTGGGCCGTCTTGGGGGGCTACTGATCTGTCTTGAAGAGTTCTTGGGAGCCTCATGGCTTCCAGGACGGTTTCCAGGCAGCCAAGAGGACACCAAGATGGCCCAAGGCGGCTCACGAGGCGCCCAAAACAGCCTCAAGACAGATCAAGAAGCCCCCAAGACGGCCCAAGAGGGCTGCAAGAGGCCCTCCTGGAGAGCCCGAGGAGGCCAAAACCATTGAGTTGCCTTAGGTGTTTGGAAGATGTTGATCTTCTCACCTGTTCGGGTTTCCGACCGCCCAAGACGGCCCAAGGAGCCTCCAAGAGGCCTCTAATACAGCTCCAAGATAGCCCCAAAGGGTCCGAAGATCGCCCAAAGGGGCTCCCAAGAGGGCCCCGAGACGCAGACGGGTCAATAATCACCCAAGACGGCCCAAGGGGCCCCAAGAGGCCGTCAAGAGGCCCCATGAAGCCCCCAAAAAGCTTTCAGGAAGCTCCCAGGAGGCCAAGAAGGCCCCAAGAAGCCTTCTCCTCCTCATCCTCTTGTTCTTCCTGTCTTCCTGATGCTCCTCCCAACCGCGCGGACGAAGACGAGGGCGGCATCACGACCCGCCCCAATGCAGACTACTCGTCCGAATTGCCCCTGTCCCTACACTCGGCCTGCTTCCTGCTATGCTGTTGCATAGGCATGGTGGCGGGTTTCGCTGCAGGCATCTGGATATATTCTCGTTTATTCTCCTTTCTAAAAAGGACTCTTACCCCCCCCGGCGTTATCGGTCCCCGTTTCGGGTATGTAAATCATGTATGATTCTGACCACATGTCCATCCTGAATCTGATTTTACACTATCCCCGGGGGGGCGGGTTCCCCCCCCCCCTGAGGTTCCCTGGTAAAAAGCACTATGCGGTGACATTTGTTGTTCTAACATAAGACTTGTTCACGCATCCCTTGCAAAAATGCGACGAAGTGCGCACGCGCGCGTCGTCGCGCGCGCATGCCGAAATCCTGCAAAAAACCGTCGGTGCCGCAAGGATTTCGCAATCGAGTTTCCAAAAAACATACAAAAACACGGGGCTTCGTAACACTGATTTGCTAAAAAAGCTTACGCGCGAGCTCTTGCGAAATCTTAAGAAAACCATAGGTCTTTCATGTTTCACAACATGCTACCAAACGGGCGTCGCGCGCGCATGTCGAAATCTGTCGAACGCCCTTGCGCGTGTGCCGTCGTGAGAATCCTTTGCAAAACACGGGACGAAGTGCAGACGCGCGCGTCGTCGCGCGCGTATGCCGAAAACCTTCAAAACCCATCGGTTTCGGAAGCATATCAAAATCGTATGTCCAAAAAACCTACAACAACACAAGGTTTCGCAACACGGATTTTCAACAAAAGCGTGCGCGCGCGCTCTTGCGGCGTCGTCGTCTTCGTCGTCGTCGTCGCCGTCCTTCCTCCTCCCACGTCGTCGTCGTCGTCGTCGCCTACGTCGTCCTGTGTCTTTCCTCGTGTTCGTCGTCGTCGTCCTCTTTGGCGTCGTGGTCGTTTCCGTCGTCGTTGTCGCGTGGTCGTCCTTATTCCTCCTCCCTCGTCGTCGTCGTCGTCCGTCGTCGGCGTCTCGTCGACGTCCCTCCTATTTCGTCGCCGTCGTTGTCGTCGTCGTCGTCGTTGTCGTCGTCGTTTTCCCTCCTCCCTCGTCGTTGTCGTCGTCAGCGTCGCCATCCTTCCTCCTTCTTCGTCGTTCGCGTCGTCGCCGTCCTCCCTCCTCCCTCGTCGTTGTCGTCGTTGTCGTCGTTGTCGCCGTCGTCGTCCTTCCTCCTCCCTCATCGTCGTTTTCGTTGGCGTCGTCGTCGTCGTCGTCTTCGTCGTCGTCGTCGGCGTCGTTGTCGTCGTCGAAGTCGTCGGGGACGTCGTCGGCGTCGTCGTAGTGGTTTTCGTCGGTGTCGTCGTAGTCGGTCTTAAGAGGTTTTGCAAACCAAGTTGCGGGTGGGTGGGTGGGATGTTTGCAAGAACGTGGGATGTGTCACATTATGTGTAAAATCACTGGCACCCCATAGATTCCCCTTCTAATGTTAAATTAGACCACCCTCCCCCCGGGGTTCAATATTCCCCTTCTGGTATTGCAATTTACATCTGATTATGCCCCATCGTCCATCCTAACTGCGAACTCAAACGATCCCAGTCAAACCGGCATCGCCCCCCCCGCTTTCCTCTGCCAAACGTGCTGCGCGCACATTATTTTTCTTATCACTTACTCCGACGGAAGGACCCCGCATGAGAAGTTGTTTAGCTTGCCCTTACTATTTTCCTCCTCGCCCTGACGGACACTCTCCTCTCGCCCGCCGTTTTGCCCTCGCTTACTCCCCCTCCTTATATTTCTCCCTCTCCTCCTCCCTCTCCACTTCCTCCTCATCATCACCCCCTCCCAGTCCCCGCCCTCATCCTTCCCCTGCTTCCTCTCCGCGCGCCCCCCCCCCTCCCCCTGGTCGGGGCAAGCAAATCGATTTTCGTCGGCGCCGTCGCCGCCGCGGCCAGAGTGCGCGCTATCCCCGACGGCTGGTTCGCGAAGCCCTTGGGACAATCCCGCGGGCCGTTGGGGCGCGGGCGCAGGCGGTCGGGACAGCCCCGCGGGCCAAGCCGCTGGGGCAGCCCCGCGGGCTTCGAGCGGGGCGCAGCCGCGCTCAGGCGGGAGGCAGCATGAACCCAAGCCCTGCGGCGAGCTGCTCGGCCTCATCCCTGGACGTCTCCGCTCCCCTGTCGAACGCCAGGAGCGCCTTCCGCAAGGAAGCCGGCGGCCCGCGCCCCAGAAACTCGCGCGAGGGCGGCCGCAGGATCAGCACGTTCCGCATGCACGTGGCGCGGGAGAGCACGACGTAGAGGCGCAGCTACCACTGGTCGCCCGACGTGCCCGTGCGGCCAGCGTCCTCGCCCCTCGCGCAGTCGATGGCGACGCCCTTGCGGAGCGTCTGGCCCTGCGACAGCGCGGAGGCGAGGTACGGCGCGCGAGTCAGAGTGAACCCCGAGCGGCGCGCGGCGTGCGACCCCGAGCTCTGCCACGCGAACTCCTGCTCGCTGGGCCTGAACAGCCCCCTGGTAGATCGGAGACTCCTTGAAGCCGTGCACCTGCCGCCAGATCCCCTGCGGTAGGAAGCGGGGTCGAAAGAGGTGGCCTGCCAGCCACTCCGCGCACCGCTGCTCGTCCTCGCGGTGGAACTCGAAGGACACGATGGCGCCGTTTGCTCCTGCACCAGCCCCAACTTCTTCTTCTTCTTCTTCTTCTTCTTCTTCTTCTTCTTCTTCTTCTTCAGCTCCTCCTGCACGGCCGTAAACCGAACCTCCATGCCGACGTGTGACGGTAAGACGCTGTGGATGCCCCCCGTCTTGCGCACGTTCGGGACGTTCAGGAGGCGCCGACCTGCGTCGGGCTCGCCCTGAATCGTGCCGCACTCGTCCACGGCCTGCAAGAAAACGAAGGGCACGCCCAGGCGCCGCGCGTCGCGACGAGCGCGCGCGTTGATCCATCTCGCCAGCGTCTCCCACTAGATGCCCATGCCGTAGCGGAGCCGAAAATTCTCGCGCTGGTGCCGAAGGTCCAGGTCGCCGCGGTTGTCGGACGCCAACGTCTTCTCCCAGGCGGACCAAACATCTGGCGGGAAAGGCTTGCCCTCGCGCATGCAACCCAGGAGCGTGATCAGAAGGTCCCCGGGCTCGAAGCGCTTCGTGCCCCTCAGCGCGAACGCGCAGGAGATCTGAGATAAGACCTCGATGGCGTGCTGAATATCCACCGTCGGCGGCTCCGCGTACTTATACGAATTGTATTCCAGGCGCTCGTTCACGTCCGTCAGGAGGCCGATGCTGCCGGTGGGCTTCAACATTCGGATGTCCCGCTCGGATTACCAACATGAAATGCGGTACCCATGGGAAGGGGGCCCCCGCCTGAGACTTCCTCACAATTCACTCGCACACGAGGCTGCCGCTTCATAGTTCCCCCAAATTCACGCCTGAGGAGCCCAAAAAAGACGACAGGTACACATTTCGGATGACCCGCTCGGATATCAACATGAAATGCGGGACCCATGGGAAGGGGGCTCCCGCCTGAGACTTCCTCGCAATTCACTCACAGACGAGGCTCCCGCTGGATACTTCCCCAAAATTCAAGCCTGAGGGGCCCAGGAAGTGACGCCAGTTACACGTTTCGGATGACCCGCTCAGATTACCTATATGAAGTATGTGACCTATAAAGAGGGGCTCCCACCTGAGACTCCTTCGCAATTCACTCACAAACATGGAT